ATATATACATATGAGGATCCGATGCATGCATCTGAATGGCCGTAACTGAAAAGAAAAACGTTCTAAAAGGCGCATCACAAGAATGAACGATTTCTCATAGGAGAATGCCGTGAAAAACGAAAAGAAATGAAACGAACGATAGTAAATGAGGTACGTTGAGGTCAAATCAGATAATTTTGCATTGGAAATCCGCATATTACGAACTGTGTGGATGGATTTCACTAAACAGTGAGTAAAGAGCGTATCTAAACGTGTTGTCGTCGATTACTTATTAAGCGAATCTGTTCCGACTCGAGTCACATTCCTCAAGCAGTTCATAAATTCGCTCAAGTAATCCTCTGAAATGGATGATGATGAAATCATTCTTTATCACGATCGTCAGTACCAACAACAACAACATCAACAGCAACAGCAGCATCAACAAGATTCGCATCAACAGCCTCAACTAACACGTCTAACACAACGGTTTTGCAGTTGTGCTTCATGCTGCTGCCTAAATGGAGTTCGTCAATTTTAATCGATTTATTAATCTATGCATTCATCTATCTAATCTATTAAATTTGGTAAAACAACTCTTGAAAAAAACAAACAACCAACATCGAAAAAGTCACTTTTCATAGCGTTCGTTCTTCTGTTTTTTCCTTTTCACCTTCGTTATCTTATCAAAATTTTGCCTTTTTAATAAAACATCAATGCAAATGAACCACACAATGAACGGTGATGACATTTAGTTTATTGCTTACGTTTGTTTAACCAGCATGATAGTGGTATTTCAGTTCGAGAGTATATTGAGAAAAAAATAGGTGCACTAAATGGATGTGTCATACATTAAAATACATGGGTATTTCATGCGCATTGCATGCAACACTTTCAATATATCTTGTTGAACAACGTTTTAGCTTTGATTATATCAGTCAATGAAAAAGATGATTGTTTTGAAGTAAATTATTAGATAAATGAGGGATTTTGATTGAACGGCAACCACGAGGATATTTTTCGTGAGGCTTTCATTTTTTTGGATTTTTCTTTCAAAAATTTAAATTTGGAATAGGATAAGTTTGTTTGTTCGGCTGCTTGAGTCAAACACTAAAGTGATTGTTGAGGCAAATGTTAGAAGCGAAAAAAGATATTCAATCATTGTGTTGTGATGATAGCGTATGATACAATACAAACAAACAGTCCGTTAAAAATGTTCTCGAACAATTTTCGGAAGTGATTTCCAATTCATTTGTCTCCTCCTCATTTGATTCTATTTCGAACAGTTGCATAACATCGTTCATCCGTTCCGTTCCATCCTCATATCATCTATTTGTCTGTAATAATACCTACCTGCAAGAACACGACCACAAACAAAACTGTTGATGCTGAATATATCCCTCAATATTTCGTGCTTTTATTCGTTCCTCGTGTTATCCACCACGCTACTACTTGCTCATTCATTTTTGCTCTTAGTGCTTCATCTTCCCACTCTTTTTTTCCATCCGTCAATATCCACCAATTTTTCCTAATTACACTTTTCACATTTTCAATCGCATTTATTTCATTTATTTTCAGCTGGCTTCAATCTCTTTGATTGAAATGGATAAATGGAAAGTTTCCAATTCCACCGTTCAAAATGCTCCACTTGCCCCCTTCAATCTAGAATTCACATCCCAACTTCTGATCGATTCAGAATTTTGGTCTTGTTGTTCGAGGCATATTTTTTAGCTCAACCTCCTCCAGTTTTTTTGACCCTAAGTATCTTCTATGTTTTGTCCATCATCTATGCTGGACGATAAGCACTGCAACAGATGAAGTTTCACTTAGAGAAACCAAAAATATTTCATTTTATACACAATGAAAATCTTGTTTTGATCAATATGGAATATTTTTTCTGTACAAATTCATTCGAATATCTAGACCGAATGTCTCAATATGTAAATTGGTTACTTAACCTAATCTGTTCATTACGTGACAAAAAATTCTTCCATCTGAACCAGCTAACGGTCCACTCGAACTAACTTACCATCTATAATAGAGAAGAAGCATTGATTCTATATGATTATCGTTCTATGAGTTTTCTTTATCACGACCAAAATTGCAATTTTTTTGCAATGGATGTATTGCTTTCCACATTCATTGATGATGTATTACCGAATTCTACTGCTTCAATATGTTTTCCATAGGGGGATTTTCTTACACTAAATTCACATGTTCTGTTCTAGTTTCATATTGTTTCCTTATCTGAATTGATGAGAAGTATTTTTGTGAAAGAAAACTGTACTCGGGAGCTTCTTATTGTTTGCAAAGTAGCCTGGAGGAAAGTTTAAAACAGAATAGAAATTAGAGTTCGATGACACATGGCTAGATGATCAGTAACAGATCAAGTGAAAATTCAGCAAATCACGCTAAATGGCAAACATGTAATAATGATTATCGTTTAATCGCTTCGAAGTGGACACATTTTCTATGCTGCATTAATTGTCGAAATTAGTGTGCACTGATATTGATCATTGTTTTGTTTAGTGTGCATCAATGCCCTCAAGTATACATGGATCAATCAGCAGTGACGATGAACCAAAGCCAGAAAGAAGTTGCAAACAGTGTGAGCGTTCATCGTCATCATCATCATCATCGTCAGCAAAAGGCGATGAGGATGGAACGGCCGCTGCTACAGCAGAAGCAGGGGCTGGAGAAGGAGGAGTCGAGCCAGAACTCAAGGCATGGATTGAGGATGACGACGCAAAGTTTGTATAGCAATCATTGTTCACGTCATTTAACATGATGAGTTCATACAGCATCATTGTCTGCAATCTGTTTTCAGCACATCAGAATACTCCTTCTTTGAGTATTAATTATTTTCGCAAACCTTTGGAAAAAAATCATTACTACTGAAAAGCATCGAATGATCATTGAGTGTGTGTCTGCGTGTGTTCAGTGTATTGAAATTGATAAGCTTATGAATGGTAGTAGAGCGAATAATATTCATGATCTGGTAAAACAATAGCAGTCCTGGTGAGAAAAAGACAAGAATTTTATCGATAGTGCTGCTATAGACTGACCTTGTTTTAGCGCCGAAGTTCACATTGATCAACAACGGATTAATTGACTACTTGTCACTCAATAGATCTCTCTTTCCTCAGATATAATGATAAAAATTTTTATAATGTACTCTCAAAGGTTTTTTTTTTTGTGGGTATGAGACGCAAAAGGAATTCACTCAGATACATCTCAGAATCAAAGCCTTTTCGAGAACCTCTAATTTTCCATAGTTAGCATATAATCTCAGTTCAACTCAATGAGAATTGCTGAAGTTCGAACATATCCACTGAAACTTTCTCAACTTCTTATAGCTCCCTCCAGCAGTTTTTGCAGTGCACTTGAGGCATTCGCTTTTGTTTTATACCTCTTTGCTCGAATTAGGCCTACGCATAAACGGATTAGGTTGAAGCTTGAGTGAGTGTCTCGAGTGCGATTCAGAGTTGCCGATGGGTGCTAGTGAAGATCGAATTTTAATAGTAGCCTAACTCTATATACATCATCCTCTACGTTTCCACCAATCTTTTCCCTCTACTTCCTGTGCCTACAGTAACTCGCATTGCGCACTGCATGTCTCTTGCACGCTCATATACTAACAAGGGAAGGTAACGAACTTACCCCCACGTTTCGGGATGAAATATATATCATGTTGTAGATCTCGTCGAGCTGATCACGAATATGTAAAGCATTTTTGCGAAATACAAAGGGGAAGTGAGATATGAGGGGAAAAGATTTTCACTGTATTGAAGTATCGTTTTGAATTTTGTTCAGCCAGCAGTGGTTTGGCTTAGTGGGTAGTGCGCTAGCACTAAGTGTGGATGCCGGGTGGTTCTGTCACGCGCGTTGGCGGGACCTTTTTCTCATACGTTTTTAGCATATTCAAACAACTATGATATTTTGCTTCACTCCTCACAGCTATTTCAAGGTGTGGATATATTCTTCTTTTATTTTATTTTTTAATTCTGTAATTTTTTTGGTTTTTTACATGTAATCGTAATATGCATGTCTGTTTACAACAAAATGGTTGAAGCATAGATATAATTTAAAATAAGAACATTTTACTAAAGATAAGTGATCACAGTTGTTGATATCACATTCTTGGACCACGTGCTGTGGGAAGTATAGTTCAACAGGCGTTTGGAATTCTTCCGGGGTAAGTTCGTGACCTTCCCTTGTAAGACTATTTCGGAGCCAGCATATCTTACTTAGTGCACTGACTACTGTAGAATTCTAAACGATTACGTGGCTGTTTATGGCAGCTCTCCGAATGTGCTAATGGATCGGAAGTAGTTATGCATCCCGTTTCCATGCAAGGGTTTCTGTGTGAATGGATTACTTTCCTTTGTCTACTGATTATACTTATTTTAGTGTCGTTTGCTGAATAATACATCTTATTGTTGGGAGTTTTACGCCTCCGACTCGACTAGCTGCACTCATGCTTCACATCTTCAGCAATTGAGGTGCCGTAATTGCTACCGCAGGATTTTGAATGTTCATAAATCACACATTCATGGCAATCAAAGCGTAGACAAATCAAACACCATATTAGAAAGATGACGTTCGAGTGAATGAAAGAGCAAACGTTTATAAAAAAGTTATAAAATGGAACAATGAATAATTGCTGCTGCACTTATATCAATAATAATTTTTCAAACAATCTTCTATTTTTCAAAGCATTTACGTTGTTGAGTCATGTGAACAACCATGTGAGCGGTTATCAATTTAATACTTCATCAAATAAATATATTGATGGGTCAGGAAAAACCTTAACCCATACAACAATCCTGCTTACGAAATACAACCAGCCAATCATGCATACATATACACACACGCTCATGCACTCACTCATATATAAACGTTTTATCATATGTAATCAACTATTAAAATTTTTGTGATAAAATAATATCATTATTACTGCCTTCGTGCTGTTGTCTTCACATTTAAAACGTAAATTGACTCTTCTGTTTGCATTTCGAATCATATCGAATCAAAGGTGTAGTTTATATACTTATGTCCGGAGGTGAGCGGAGCGTGTAAATAACAGGATTAGTATTATAGAGTAGAGTGGTGTCAATAGCAAGTTCCCTACCTGAAATACACCTACTTTACTAATTCCATCAATAATCTACCTAACTATCTACCAATCTGAATAACTTCATCGAGTCATTTCACTTCATCTTGCTGATTGATTTTTCCTTCGAAGACATTCCTTCGCTGTTGATCACAATCATTTCGAACGGTCATCGCTGTTTGCACGTGAACAAAGAACATATTCAAGTCACTTCATTAATATTCATATCTCTTCGTATTGTTCATCACTATTTGTTGCATAAATTGTAATTAACTGTGTATATTTACGCATAATTCTAAGCTAGTTTACAAAAAAACAATTTCTTGATGATGCAACTTACGAATACCAAATCAAATGAAAAACACAACGACGACTATGCTAATTTGCCAACGTTACAAGATAATTTGTAAGTATATTTGAAATATACTTTTTATTACTCATATCCCTTTATGTTTATTCATTTCTTTCAGGCTTTAACGCTATTCTGATCGCTAAATTCGATTTTGTCACGGTTTTTTTCATTATTATATTCCTTTGTTCATAAGATGGTTTTTGAATAATAGGTTTCTATGGTCTTTGCACAATTCACGCTTTCGCACTTTAAAAACTATTGTTTCTTTTTCACACACGACCTGATAATTCAATTATTCTCTAAAAGTCAAAAAATTAATGTCAGCTTAAAATTTGTGATCATAATCCTATTAGAAGATAAAAATTGACGTTGCTACTATCATTGGTGCTACTACTTAAATGACTTATGCTCTAATCAGGCAAAAAAGCAGTCCGAATTCGTCAATAAGACTGATTATTCATATCTTAGGTAGCTTATTATCATTTTTATTCGACGCATTATTTTAATTTACGAACATTAGCTAGATTTTCTGATTGTACACAAATACAAACAAATGACTGTTTGCGCTTATACGGATACACAGATTTTCTACATAGATTTTCAAAAGATTAGTTTTGGTTGGTGCTCACCATTAATTTAAACATGCTACCAGCAACATGCCTTTTCTGTCGTATTCCTGGTTTAGTTTGTATCTGCAACATTTAAATCCAAGCATCAAAGCAAAATTAATATCACCATTTTTAGCAGAAGTGTTACCTTGTCGTCCAACAAAACTGCCTTCATACAAAAAGATGTAATATGCTTTTTTAAAATTTATCTGCTTCAATCATTACAAACAACTCATCTATTGCATCCCACTTGCTTTTCAATAATCAAAACGCTAGGAACTGGTTCGTTTCATTCGTGAAATTTCCCTCAGTTATTTGATCAAGGAAAAGACGCTCCAATACAGAGCGCCAAATGTTCAATCGAATAAATCAATGGAGCAAATGTAGCAGCAGTTGAGATCGATCTTTCTCCAGTATGTAACATAAGATGCGGTTTTTCATTTCTCAATTAACCTGGCATAACGTTCATTCGTCTGTTTGGTTTTTTTGGTTTATGATTTCTGAGGTCAGAAATGAGAGAGATGAACTCGGGACCATTATCAGTAGAGAAGAATTATGAAGTAAACTCGATATGATCGAGAAGCATTTGCATCTGATGATGTTGAATACTTTCACATTGGTCAAGAACTCTTGCATCGTCTATCTTCATTTTTTTGAATCGCTTTCAAGAGATGATGCGAAATTTAAGAAACAAAATAGAAACTTTCAACAGAATCGTACGTCACTCATAACTGATGTTTCGTTTTTTTTGGAATAATCTGTACAAATGTTTTCATTCATTTCCCTTCTTGAAAACCAATAATTTTTGAGCACCTCATTTCTCATCATCAACAGAAACGAGAATGCTGGCAACAGTCGGGTATGCTAAACTGCACTAAACACTTAATCACTTTAATTATGAATGTGTTGTATCTTTTAGAGCACATTTCAAGCGAATCGCAACGCCTCACAGCTTTTTATTCGCATTTCTCTTCTTTCGTTTTTTGGTTCCGTTTCAATCAATTATAATACTATTCTGCGAAGGAAACTTTTTTCAACGATACAGTTCAGGTGGAATTTCCATGAAAAATTTTTGAAACGCTCATTAATTTGGTGGGAGGAGAGGTGGAGAGTGGGAGCACTTCTATTGGCATCCACTAGTTTATTCCAACGAGAGGCTGATGTTTTTGTGATGATGGTGAAAGTGTTTTTTTTTTTGTATGCAATTGTTTGTGCTTTCCTTGTTTGTTTTGTTGTGAGTTGAACTGAGATTTGCTTGTTTGTTATGGTTTAGTTGTCACTCTCAATTAATATCTGCACTTGATCAAATCAAAACTCATTGCACTCACTTCCTCGACTATTCGTGCTCACGTTAGCAATTCATTTGCCACATATGTATCACAAAAGTCCAGTTTCGAAATCTTTTGTCTTGTATGTAGAATTGATTGATTGATTGACTGATTGATAGATGAGTTTGATGTAGAAATAAGTGAAAGTGGGCAATAAATAAACATGTTGATAGATCAGTCAATATTTTGCAATAAATTACTACAAATTAGTTTGGTAATGATTAGTTTCAGAATGATAATAACAGTAGTAAATTGAGAAAGAAGACAACACGTTTGAAATGATTCAAGTGATGAATGAATGCTTGAATGAATTCTCAGCTGAAAATTACAATTCAACCGGTTTTTCTGTCTTGTTTTTGTCTTAATGATTGAGCATTTTGCATTTTTCAGTTGACATTGAGCAGATTCATTGATCATTGAAAACATTGTAATTCTGAGTGAGATGAGCAATTCTCTTTATTCAGGAAAGAATGTTGCTATTCATTTCCTACCTCACTTAAGCGGTGTTCTGTTAACTCATTCTCAAAAGGCAAGTTCAAACTGTAAAGCAACAGAACAAAACGAGAGAGACGAACAGATGCAGAACTCTTCAAAGAACCAGATGATATTTTGTTGAATTGGCAAATTGTTAATCGAAAGTGATCAGAAACAACTTACAAAAACAAGAGGGATGCACCCAAAACATGAGAGTATCTTGATGAAAAGATCACGGCTTCATGGCAATCACTGAATGCTATATTGCAGACAAGAACTGTTTTCCATGTTCACATGTTTTTACGCGCTGATTCTCGTCATTCTCGGCCTGATTTTTGAACTGTCGCATTTACTTAGTGGACGATCAATGGAAACCAATATGGATCAAGCCAAAGATGTGGTAAGTTCATAGGTTATCCTACCAAAGAAATGCATGTAAACATTGAAAGAAACAAATGAACTATGTGCTACTGTGTTCACACAAAAATATTTGCAACAACAGCACTAATAAACAAAACCTAATCGATTCGCTGAGTAATCAACGCATTTGAATGCTTCTCAAAATGGTAACTTAGGCCAATTTTGTTGAAAACGAATGCTGCTGTTGAATCAAAGTACTAAGATTGAGTTGTTGACAAAAGAATACCTACGCTTTTACTACGATGTGAATTAGCAACAGCGAGTTGCTAATTCAGATCATATAAATTCATTGATGAGTACGATTAGTTGTCTTGTTTGAGTAACTTTATTGTTGCAAACACATGATGTTTTGTGGTTTTCATTTAATGATCATTCATTTTTGGTTGAATTTTTCTTCATTGTCAATTCATTGAAGGAATCAATTAAGTATCTGATGATATTAGACGCTAACAGTGAAAGATGATGATGATTGAATTCATTTCAAAGAATACCTTAAATATCCGTCGTATTTCAGTTATTCAGCACGTATATGTACGGTGGTTCATTGATATTTTTCATTTATTGCTATGCAGTTTTGTTGAACACAAGAATGTCACGCAACATCGTGAAGGGAATGCGAAAAGCAACTGAAAGGTCGGGAACAACAAAAACTGTCTTATCTTTGTCTGCTTCTTTGTTTGCCCTTGAAATGCACTCTGAAAGGAAACTTATCGATCGAGAAGGTCAGGTCACAATTCTAATCGAAATCACGGGAACTTGTGTTTGCAGTTTGAAATAATTTTCTGCGTTATTCCTTCGTGTTACTGAAACATTTTCAGTGCGAACAAAATATTTGCGAACATGATAAATTGTTCAAAAGTTCCTTCTTTATGTCACTTTTGAAAACGGTTTTCTTTCGATGAGTAAAAAACTTGAAAGTGCAATGCGAATTATTCATTGTCTCCAAATGACAGTTTCATTTTTGCTCATAAGAATGTAACTTTGATTTTTCACCTGAAAATTTCGCTTTCTCCAATGTTGTTTGAATGATTAAAATTTTTCACTGTTTGTTTATTCAAATGGGCCGTTGGCTCTTTTTATACTGTCATGATTTTGGTTATCAGTACTGTGATCTTTATCACGCTTAAAGTCGTGATCAATTTCAAATGATCAAAATCATTCCACTTGTGACCGTGACGAAAAATAGAACAATAAGGATCAACACTATCATCCTTCTTCTTCAGTACTGTCAAAATGCCTGCTCTTGTTTTTCTTCCAATCGTTGAAGTTCATTTTTAGGACGCTAAAAGTGGATTCGCCAATTCGAGAGTCGATTCCATTCATGAAGAAGAAATATAGCACTGAGGGGCAGATAAAGCAGCCGAAAGCGTCACATTCCAAAGCGAAATCTTCAACTGGAAGTTTATATTTACGACTGGGTTGTGTTGGTTCGTACCTTTTGACGCATTAATTTTACTGTCCTCTGTATAAATAGTTTTCAACTGATACGTTTGTGATGCCTATATGCGGTGTTGGATCGAACGATTGAATGACGAAAACGTGAAAGAAAGTGAAAAATCAACGATGAAATAAATTTACTTTGCAGCTGATAGGAGAGAAAGTATGATAAAATGTGATCGTCATCAACTGTTCTTTATTCTTTGTTTATTTGTTTTCTTTTTTTTAAAATTGATTTCGATCATACAGAGAGACGTTATCGAGTGACAATACATTCCGAGTCTATGGTATAACCGTAAAATGGTCAATTGTCACCATCACTTATTGTAGATCTGTTGTACCATTTCGTTCCATTAGTTCATAAAAAGTCGCATCATTTGCACTAGAACATTGGCCTGATTATGATTCTATTACTAGTCATCATCCATTCCAAATTAAGAATTTCATGATGTAAAAACCGAACACAAGCTCGTGTACCCAATTCAATACCAATATCATACCACTTGTTCCAAGATAATTGGAACGAGTGAGTGCTATGAAAATAGGTTGATGGTTGTTGTGCTGGTAGATCGGTACTGATTGACACTAATAAAGATAAGGATTCGTTAAGTGAATTTGATGAAATGTTTTGCAGTATTTGGAATATTTGGTATAGTTTATTATGGCCTCATAATAGTGGTTTGTGTCGTGGGATGGGGCACCGAAAAAGCGGATTGTAATGCGAATACTTTACTTGTGTGGACATTAGCAACAATTTTCATTTTTGTGCAGATGCATTTTATCTTTTGTAATTCTAAGGTAACTTTATTTACAATAGTTCTTTTAATTGTGTTTGCATGCTACTGCTTTTTTGTCATCTAGTTTGAAATAAAACCTGAACTGATAATGAATTGTCATGAAGGATTGCGCATTAATGAATGAAGTGAAGCTGAATTGACACTCATATGTAGATTTATTTCGTTGAAGATTACTGTGCATGGATCATTAAAAATCGCTCGTCTTGGGATGATGCATTTAACAGCAACAAATATGTGGACATGGATGCGCTACATCCTCCTCGAAGAAGAAGCAACTACTGAGGAATTAGCACATGCGAATTTTGCAGCGAGAATACGTGAGTAGTGTAGTGATGATCTCATTTTTGAATAGTGTTCGTTCTTCTCTCAGCTCTTCGTCAGTACGGAACTTTTAACATTATCACAGTATTTAATTCATTTTTGTTGCTTCGATCACAAGTAAACGACTGATCATTTAACACCAAACAAACAGCACAAGAGCAGTTGATAAGCAAACAGCCTGTACAAGTTATATTCATTGCAGCCGTTCATCATCTTTTCAATAAAACAACCGCTGAACTGGCACATCCACAGATAACAAAACATGTCGAAGTGGAAATATGCCGAGGTGCTGGTTGCGTGCTTGGCAGTTTCAAGGAATTCATGTAAGCGCTATGCCATTCCAATGAAATGCCTAACACTTCCGATGCTTTTCTATAATTCCTTGTAAAAATGCTCAATTTGAATGAAAACCAAAGAAATTCTCAGTGATTTGCGACTGTCTTGGTGAATGAGTATTGAACCATTTCAGGTATACGTGTGTTGTAGAATATGCTCTTATATGTGCAGGTGTTTCGTTTGTCTTTTGGACGAACGTTGGTAAAGGACCAAGTAAATATCAAAAAGTACGAGATATGCTGCTCCGTTAAGTTTCCGTATTTTTGCTCACACAAAACCTTTTTGATGATGAACGATTGTCAAACCGTTGGAGCTCAACAAATGAATTTATAAGCTAATTTTGTGCCTGTTTTGAGGTGATATTCCTCAAAAATCGAAATTTTTATTCTCATCTGTGCATGAATTTCAGCTGAAACAACGACGATCAAATATGATATCTGTTGATTGTTCTCGAACAACAACTGGTCTTTTTCTTGGCTTTATTATAATTGCATTCACCTTTATCTGTATTGCCATCTTCAATGCATATATTCATGAAGAGAATTCAAGACTTCTCGCTAATACGGTCTGATTTGTTCATTTCTTTCTCATTGTTCCTCCCGTTCATCATCATAAATTTGCACTCCTAACGAATTTTACCGTTTCATTCTCTCTCCATGATTACATTCCACCATCATTGTTGAGTAACTTCTTCATCAGCTTCTTCCCAAAAATGAATTCTTGATCGAATAATTCAACTTATCAACTGTTCGTATATTCATTTCAGATTTTTTTCTCTACTGATGGAATTCTATTGCTGTGTTCACTGGCCGCAATTTTGTTCGCATTTTGTCAGATGCGAAACTTAAACTTCAAGAAACGTGAAGATGGTGATGTGGACGAAAGTGCTGAATTATTGGACCATATATTGTTGGTAGTTGGATTGGTTGGTGAACTTATTTTCAGCATCGGTATGACTTTTCAACTCGGTTTTGAAAAACTTGAAAATTGTTTAAAATACTTTTTTGTTTAACCGGCTCAAACCGCTACCATATCACGGAATTGTTGCATGCAATTTGTTTACTTTGATCTAATTTTTTTAGGAGGCATAATGAGCTTGTCGAATACTGTCGAATTCAATTATATGATTGTGATATTGTTGATTGTGCAAAACCTGCGATTATTTCAAGTGATCTTACAATCGGCACTTCTGCTGATTGGTTCAAAGCTAAAAACAGCTTCACCAGAGCTCGAATCACTCAAACCTGGTAAACAGGTGAGGTACCACATCTGTTAATTTGCAATTTATATCCGGCGTTCAGTCATCGCTAGTGAGAGCAAAGTGTGTTGAGTATGGAAATGTTCACTACGGTATCGTAGTTAGTAGCCAATGGACGGATTATAAGCATTGACATTTGACAAACTTTCGAATCAAAATTCATTTCCGAATGGAGCAATCAAGCTTACAAATGAATATTATTATGTGATGAACAAATCAGTTGCGATAACTACTCATATCATCAAACTAACTGACAATGAGTTGCGGTAATAAACATTATAAATGATTGATTTTATCATCAATGTTCAGTGTCGATTTCAGGTAGTAACTTTTCTATTGATCATCAACATTGCGTTATTCATTATGAACACATTCGAAGCCCAAAAGGCTGGGGTTACGGAAGATATTGTACGTTATTATGGGAGTAAAGCATGGGCATTACTGGTTCGTGGTTGCTCGCCGTTGACAATTTTTTATCGTTTCCATTCATCCGTTTGTTTTGCTGAAATTTGGAAGCACACTTTCAAAGGAGTTCGAGGAGAACTTGAGATGATTTGATAAATATTAATGTTGTGATATTAATGGTGACGTCTTGGTGAACCTCATTTGCACATATTGTATATGTTTATTTAAAACTGACAATCGTTGTTCACCTCAGTGAATGATGATTTGCTATTTACCGAATAAACTGTTCTGTATAGTTGCTGTGCTGGTCAAGGTATTTGTCAGCATAATGATTAGCATAAACTCAATTAGCATTACAATATTCATGCTTTCTAGAAAGTGTTTTTAACTGTCCGAAGGTATTTTTAAACAATATAATAATTGAAATTCTGAGCTATCAGGAAAGAAATACACAGTTCCAGAGGATTATCTGGTTTTCTTGAGGCGTTGGTATGACCAAACGGTATGAATTCGATCATTCTGTTCATCAATTGATTATAACAAGATAAGATATACCACTTTCATGTCACCATTGTACTTAGATTTTATCCACATCACTTTGTATACGATGTGAGAACTAGTGATGTCTCAATTCCATTTAAACTATTCTTTTCCTTTGAGAGCTGTTTTATTCTATTCCATGAAACAGAATAAAACAGTTCTCAAACGAGGAACGCACAGAATAGGATAGAATAGAATAGAGCAGTTTTTGGGGAGGAACAGAACAAAACAGAACAGTTTTCAGCAGAATTTGGCTGTTCCTTAAACTGTTCCAAGTGAAAAATCCAGTGAGATAAATTACCATTGTTATATTATTATTGCTATAATAATAATAATAATAATTATTATTATTATTGTTATTATTATTATTATTAACTAATATTATTTCAGTTATTGCCATTTATTGATATTATTTTTGTTACTATCGTTTATTAATTTTGTTTTATCTATTATTATTTATTCTTATAATTATTAATTATTATTAATCATTTTTCTTATCATTATCACTTTTTATTAATATTGTTTTCATTTTACCTATTATTATTTATTCGTTCTTCTGCAAGGATGGCGGAGAGATAGTTACTCAAGTAATTCAGTGCTGATAGCTGTTAGAGATTCGAGTCCACCAAAAAACGTCATATTCAATATCATTAGGGAGAGGCGAAAGGCCATCAGTAAGAGATGAAACAGCGCATCGAGGGCAAGTTATCGCAGTAAGGTCTCAAAACTGTCAAAGACTGTTTGTGAGGAATTCCCTCAAGAAACAACTAAAGGATGCAACTCTATTTCCCAATGAACACCCTACTTTCAAATGCTGGCCGTACTCTAATTCTACGAGCTATCCATCAAAGAAATTGTTCACATCTTACGCCTCTAATAAAAGTTTATGCTTGGAGGATTTGAGGCCGATTGAATGAATCAGTTCATTCCAAACTCATTAGTACGAGAAACCGTGCATCAGGTTTTGACCGAACTGTTGGGACGAAACGTGAATCCTATGTTCTTCAGTAATGCTGGTTACCAGAGCCGGAAACCCTCCAGTTTCCTTCAGTCATCACGGTCAACAGCTGCCTGCGTGCACAATCTTCTCCTACCCGAAATAATTTCTATTATGCACTGAAATTGCTAAAAAACCACGCTTCCAACCGTAACTATCTTTTACCGTGTCATTTTTCAGACGGAACAGAATAGAACAGCTTAAAGGGGTAGAACAGAATACAATAGAATAGAACAGAATAGAATACAATAGAACAATTCTCAAACGAGTATTGCACAGAATAGAATAGGACTGAGTCGTTTTTAGAGAGGAATAGAACAGAATGGAACAGTTTTAAAAAGCTTGGAATGCAGACATCACTAGTGAAAACATAAGGAGTACTATATTCATACCGTCTGTGTCTATTTTTTAGCATAGAGTCAGTTGTTTTTAATATAGAATAGACAATAAACCATGAGAAAAGGGCATATTCCTATGTTTATTACTGAACATCTAGTACTGTATCCTCACAACAAGTATCATATTCAAAGCATTTGTATGCTCGCAATTTCGAATGCAATTGGAACAATCACATGCCATTCGAATACGCTCTGAATAATGAATCTGAGATTTGGGCACTCCCCGCAGAACACTAGATTGGAGCATTGCTGCCAAACTGATACCGAAGTTTTGTCAATGGTTATTTTGCAGGAATCATTAACTTATATTACATTTATTTACAAGCATCAGATTTGTTACCTAAATGATGGCATTACATAGAAATCATCACCATTTTAATGGTTTAAGCCGACTGCAGTGGTGGCTTAATCTTTTGTAGTTAATACGCATGAGAGGGTACTTCATCTTGCAAACAAGTTTTCCATTCATTGACTGATGTAACCATGAAAAATGAGGTTTTCAAGGCACCAAATCGCTGTGATGATGTGAATATACGGATACGCTCAAGGTACAGATCGCAATGTAATACGACATCGCTGTACTGATCGTTAAAGCAATGATATTTTTAAGATCTGCAGAATCTAACAAATCCAATGCTGTCAGAAATTTTTTAGAACACGATGGTTACGCGTCAAGGTGTAACAGTGAGTGTTTGGCCAGTTGAATTGTATTTGGTCAATATATGACGTCGTATGATGTGGATGAATTAATTGAATATGTTTTTCGCTTAGAATATTTCGTGAAAATATCAGTTGATATGGTAACCGAATAAACTGATTGAACACTGGTGATGTATGATGATGACGATATAACCGATCCAATGAATGAGTTTCAGTTCAATGATTTTTGGTTGCCAGTCCAGGTGGCGATGATGCAAACAAGCAATAAATGCATTTGATTTCCGGTTCATGATCGGTGCTTGGCATTCATATGAGGTAATCAAATGCGTTATAAGTTGATTCAGTTTCATTGACTCACAAAAAAATGATTTCTCTTTTGCTTACGCATCTTACGATCAACTAGCGACAATGTTCAAGATCAACTGAGTTCAAGTCGAACCAAGAAGTTCAATTCAACTAAGCAAATGATTAACTCATTTTTATCCTCACAACTCATCTGTAATGAACATTTGTATGCATAATTTTTTGCGTCTATACTTCAACCAATTTTTTGGATTAAATTTTTTCCGCACTGTATTTCGCTCCTATCCTTCAATTACCAATCATACTTTTAGATTTTGTCGTACATCCAAGGAGAAACTAGTATAAGATAGACAAATTGAGTTAATTTCTACAAAATAAGAGTTTTAAAATTTTTTCAAGTGCATACACGTTTGAAGAAAAAATCTGTAGATGGGAAATGTTCGAGGTTCATCATTTGATGAATAAAAATAATTTTCAATTACACTTCAGCGACTTTATTGGTCTTCATTATTACATAATAAGCAGCACATAATTGTAAGTAAACGTGCGTATGTCCATAAATATGAATCAGTTGAGTTATCGAGGTACGACATTGAGTGGTTATTAAACGACAAAAAAGGAATTCTTGTTGATGTAAAAACGTCACTCATGCTTTTCAAATTTACAATTCGATAAAAACCTCAATAATTTGAGATCTTTTCACATTTTTTAAAGTGATATTAGAAATAACGACTGAACTTCACGATTAATAATTTAGTAATGTATGTTTCTTATGAGCATTTCACAACCGAAATTTGTTTTCATTCGAATGCAAACAAAAGATTCATTCTGAAGCTTAACCATGCTGAACCTTTCTCATTGATTCAAAGGAACAGCTCAATTCAACTTAGTGAGTCGACACCAATGCAATCGGCAAATCTGGGGATTGATTGCTCGAATTCACTTAGAGAGCGTTCTGGAAGTGTTGCTCATTTTTTAATCGGTGCAGCGATATGAATTAAATTTGCACTAACAATAAGCACAGAATCATTATTAAACAATCGCTTTTGTTTATGAAACAAATACTGAATTCGGACCCATGAATTTTTATAGCGTATGTGGATTGAATTCTGAACTTTTTAGCGGATAAGTAGCATTCGGCAGTAGTTTGGGCGAACAGCAAGAAATTCTGTTGTTTCAAAGCGTATGTTCTATATGATAATAATAATAATAATAATAATAATAATAATAGTAATAGTAATTCCCACAAATTTCACGGTTATCTTTTTCACATTTTCTGTCATATAACCTGAAGTCTACCAGTATGTCTTTCAGTGGAGCCTGCAAATTCAAGTGGGTGGTGTACCGTATAAATTGTTTGTTCTGTTCGGCATCCTACATCGGGGAGACGGTTCAGCCATTGGAGAAGAGATACAGTTAGCACGTACGATATATGAAGCATCCCGAAAGGGAGAAACCATGCTCGTTACACATGAAGAATAAGCATAGCGAGATGGCACCAGAAACAAATGTGGAAATAATTGCGATGGAGAGGAACACACAGAGGAGGAAGATATTCGAAGCCGTCACCATCAGAAATCTAATCCCGGATGTGAATATAAAACGTGAGATGAAGGAGGCGGTTAAGTTCTTAAATTCCTGATATTTCTGCTAAAATAAAATATTAAAAATACTGTCTACTAAATACTGTTTACTCATTATATTCATTATTCATACCTAATTATTCTAAATATGATCCTGCCTATACAATCAACACTAACCCTCGACCTCCAACATCCCGTTATCCACGTAACTCTGTTTAAAATTCGTGTCCGTTCCAGTTGCTCAATATTTCTGGTTTAACGTTGTAGCTGATGATGGCATTCTAATGCCGAAACGTCCTACGGTTTTTCGGTACTTCCTGCGCATTATTTCGGTCAGTTACCACTATTCACATATTTTTATTACTATTATTAATAATAATATTATTATTACTATTATTATCATTATTATTTATCAAAATGTGCATCGCACCGCATACTCATTTGTTTATCACGTAATGTTATGAATGGTGAGGACGCCAGTATCATTGATAACGATTATAGATGTTAATATACTAATACTGATAGTAATTTGAGTTATTATAATATTATTTATAACATTTGACTCTGCCGCCATAACCCAACTATCCATTAATTCACATCCCATAAATCATTGTAGCGAATACTAAACGACTCCGCCTTCAATACCGCAACTAGTAATATCAAGAAACGCATTAAGAGCATGTTCTCATTTTAATACTGATTATGCATGAAGTTCGGTTAATTCGCTCAAATTTTTCGTCTTTCACAAACATTATTTCATTTCCTTTAATATTTCATTCTAACAGCAATAATGAGTTGAAATAGGAGTGTTCTTCAACTCTATTCGATACGATCACCAGTTTAGGCGGTTTAATACGGTAGTGGCGACAACTGATTCCTTCTCCGCTCAAAGGGAAAATCCACAGGTCGAGAACTAATAATTCTGGAATTGAAATTTCAAAAAATTATTATTTGAAGTGAGCGAAATACTTGAACTACGTAAAAGCAATGGAATCAATACGTCGGTTATCGTTGTTTGAGCCAGGAACAACACGAGATCAATTCGTTGAGACAATACGAGAGGTTATCGTCAATGATACGATCATAACAGTCACTGAGCAAATGCTCGATGAACTCTTTGAGAAATTTGATCAGGTGCTTTGGTTGTAGTTATTTTGCTTCTGCATGTCTCTGCTGAATAATATTTGTCAGATCAATTATTTTACTTATTTATTAACTTCTCATTATCGACATGAATAGCATTGGAGCACAGTAAATTGGAAATACAAAAAGATTCTTATGTTGGATTATATCAAAATTAACTTTGGATAGTTTTTTGAGAAGTAGCCTGCAAAAGAGTAGGTTATTTGCAGATCTCCATGAAGACCTATTCAATGCATCATGTCACTATGTTGTCCATTTGTATTGTATTCTTAGCTTGCAGAGAGCATGTCGTTTATTGTAAGTTATGGGATTCTTGAGGTGAAATTCGTAGTTCAGCAGAACTGATGAAGAAGGCGACGGAGAGGAAAAAATTTGCGGGCAAATGAAATTGTTTATACTACTTATTCATCGAAAGGTTAAAGATGATAATACATTTTTCTTGAAGGATTGTGATGGTGAATTGAATGAGGTGGAATGCGAGTATGTTAATCACTTGCTAATTGAACCGTTAAATCAGCTGAAAACAGCACTTATCGTTGTTGACTTCCAAAACGATTTCATTACAGGTTCATTGGCCATAAAGGTAGTTGATATTCAATAGGATTTCATTCAATGACACTTTCAAAATGGTTTATGCCTCTACTCAAATATTTATCAAGCTAATATCATGATACTTTATTCAGCATGGCAACAGTTTAATTTTTCAAGTTCACTTTTGCCATACAAACAAAAATGGCCTTCTGTGAATTGCAGAACGGGACTGCACAAGAAGATCCGAGCGAGGCATTGATACCAATTAATAGACTAATCAGCGAGTGTCCTTTTGCGTTGATCGTCTACACAATGGATTGGCATCCATATAATCATATCTCTTTTTGGGAGCACTGCAGAAATTCAGATCGAAAATTATGCGTTGAAGATCGAATAAGAAAATTGAAACCGTTTGATATTGTTCGTTTCGAAACGCCAGATGTTGAGCAGGTTCAGTTCATAAGAGATTTCTAATTGCAGCATTAATGATTAGCTCATGTTTCGTTCAAAATTAGCGTTCATTCAACTGAAACATTTTTCATTACGTGTAAAATTCCTCCATCCATGCGTATTATTTCCTTTCAATCTCATATCTGATTATTTTATAAGCAAAGTTATTCGACTTAAACCTTCATATATTGACAGCTCAGATCCATGCATATAAGTTGAACAAGGAATGAACGATACGATCCAGTTTTCTCATTCTAACTGTTGTAGAAATTGTACCCGGCACATTGCATCCAGAATTCGTGGGGAGCTGACTTGGATGCACAAATGATTCAAGCCAAAAATTCGGTATTCATTCAGAAGGGTAAAGACACCTATGCGGACTCATATTCAGCCTTCAAAGACAACAATAAAGATCAAAGGTTGTCAAAATCATACTTTTATCACGAAAATCTCAGCTTTACTTTCTCATCATCTTCCAGAAAAAGCAACGAAAACTATATGTTTTCAGTTTACTTGCGAGCATGAGGAACTGGGCTGAAATTACTGATAGAGGCTGGATGATAGAGGGGACTTCACGGATGCTTTATTTACGACTGGCTTGAGAAAAAAATTGATTATATCCAAAAATAGTCGTTTTTAGTACTGAATTGGAAGAAGTGTTACGTTCTGAATCAATTGACGCGATTTTCGTTTGTGGACTTGCGTACGATGTTTGTGTGGCCGCCACAACAAATGACAGTGTTGAATTGGGTTTTTTAACAGCACTCATAACGGATTGCAGGTTTATTCACGAATAATATCATTCAACAAAGTTAATTTGCTCTAATTTATATTGATTTCACTTGAATACATCATCGTATCATTGTTTTCGATACTGCAACGCTTACCATATATCAAGCAGAACACAAACTATCAAAAAATGATGTTTGCATCACTTTGAAAATCATACAAGCGCGTTGGCGATCGATCATTTTAAGTATTGAAGTTTGCAGCAAAGGACTAGATTTGGATGAGATGAAACGTGTCAACGATGAACTATCCAATAAAAATGTGGCCATTCTTAATTCAGAAAGTGTCTTAAGGATTGTAAGCGACAAATTCATTCCATGGCAATGGATTTCTAGTTTAGCCGGTCTCATGTAAACGAACAGAGGTGATTCGGTTACTGGTCACTCTTCAGAGTATTAACTAAATATTTGCAATGAAGAGTCCGTACTTGTTGACGGATTGATCTGCATGCTGATTCTGGTGATGTTTCAATGAAAACGTTTTGAAGCTACAAAAGATTGGTGAAACAACGCTTTTTTCCCAGAATATGACTATCTTTAAATGAATGTTGAATTTGCTTGAAAAGCTTCGCTATAATTATGTTCTTATTCGCTGGCACTGTTGTTTCTACGCTGTCTCTATTTATTTCTTCATTTATTAAGTAATCATTCAAAAAGACTGTTAATTTTGAACTATTTCACTGGACTACTCCAGAATCGAAGTTTTCCGAGTGGATTCCGAATATCTGTTCGAAAAAATTCGTCAAAATTATGAACTAGCGATGCTAGCTGATGCCAATTATTTCAAGTCAGTGTTTTCGCAATCAGAACCTTCGGAATTCGTGGATAGGAATTCAAACCCTTATTCGAAACTAGCTGTTGACCAGTAAACTGAAATGAACTGAGGCAATATTTAAATAATCATTGAAGTAACATGCTCAGTTTAACGTATAGTAAACGATCAATGTTGCTCCATGTGAAATTGCTTATTTTTCTCTTATGCAAAAATTTCCAGCTTGTTTTGTGAATGTTTTCGATCGTATCGTCCAATCCAGGGTTTCTCAACCGGGGGTGCACGCACCCTTTAGGGGTGTGAGTTGGCATGTCAGGGGTGCGAGAGAGGGTGGGGTGAGAGGGTTACGAAGGCGGGTTCGATGAGAGGAGGTGAGTGAAGGGTGCGGGAAGGGATGTGAGATATGGTTTTACTTTTTATACAGTAAAGTAGTCGAGAACATACTTCATGTTAATACTTTTAAAATAATTCTTTCGGTCGCGTTTCATTCTTCAATGAACTACCGTCGTAGGGTGTGCGAGTGCATCCTAACCCCGCTCCTCAAAAGAATAATAGTGTTTAACAAAGGAACACCAAAAGGATTAACCAAGTGCATCCCAATAGGTGATCAAACGCCACCTAAATCATGAGCAGGGACGAGGGACCACTGGTCTAATCCATTCCTGAATTACATGAAAACAAGTATATGAATTATTATTGAATGCTTACTATAATCATTAATACTTCTATTATTGTTGTTATTATGATTGTAAAATGTTGCGGTTTACGTGCGTATAAACCGTAAATGAGTATGACGGACCGATGATTTTGAATGACGACACTGGTGAATAAACGATGGAAGGAACGTTTTGCGAAAAAAGAATAAGAGTATTTTATTTAACGAAAGAAAAGACAATCAATAGAATGGGTGTATTCGAGTTGACATTCATAATTTTGACCTGATTTTGATCTAGTGACCGATATGAGATCGAAGAAGAAAACTGAGTGGAAGAATAAGATGATGGAAGGAAGGATGTGAAGACGAAGGCAACAGCAGCAAAATGCACTTCTTCACGCATGTAACGATCATTAATGGCGTTTCTAATAGCTGAAGAAGTTGTACAATTCTACGCAATCTTAATGAAATTTATTCTATTTCTTATTTTATTTTCTTTGAAGGTTCTGTTGATTTTGTTGATTGCATTGTGAATTTTTGAATAATTAACGGTAATTTCATAACGAATTTATTGAATTTTCGTTTCGCTTTTATCATTGCCCTTTTGAACTTGTTCCTTTGCGCATCTGGTGTGAAATTCTCGCGAATAGAAACACCTTAAGTTTAAACTGCTTTTTTTCTTAAAGTGCTTCGTTTTTTTGAAAATTCTCTTACACTATTCCATTTGATCGGTTTTCCGCCCAGTTTGCTGTACTCAACTGAGTACTTTCTCCACAAAGTAGTGAATATTGCTTCATTACACGAACAGTTCCAATCTGAGGATGCTAACACATATTGCTAACAGCTTGTGGTTATGAATGAGAGTTGATAACCAAGCGAAGTTCAAATTTCTAATGATATTTTTGGTTGTTGTGCATTATAACAAATTTCAATTAATGATTTCATCGATTTGTTGATAAGATTATAATGTAATAATAATAGCACTGATAATACTAGAATTGAAAAAAATGAGTATATGAAAACATTACTCGACTGAAACGGAAGCGTTGATCAAGAAGCGCGAAGTTAATGTTGAATGGGACTGTTTAAGAATTGAGTGGGTACGTTAATGAGTTGTATTACATAAAGTTGACGTGAAACATGTTTCATGATGATCGTTTGTCCAATCGTCTAAAGCAGTTGTGATAGCAATAATAATATTATTGACAGTCATCTTAATGATATCATTATTAATCTTACTATTATTACTATTGCTATTGTAAAGATTGTGGTGACGAGGCAAGCAGTTGAATCTTTTCGTTTACTGGTCACTGCGTAATCGTCAGCACGCTGTGTAACGACTATATCATATCATATAATGTCGTATCATACCACATCATATCATATCCTAACATCATATCATAAATTATTCACGCTCACCCTCGTTCGACGTTGCGTGATAGCAATTTTTGTTTGATAAAATATTTCTATTTTTTCTTTACTTTATTCAATATCTTCAAATCAGCTTCTTACTAAAGTTGGGAACTACTCAAACAAATGAAATGAATGAGTGAATGCATAAACAAGTAACTAAATATGCATGCAGTTAACTGTAACATACTTATATGATTTGCACTTATGTATAAACACATGCCTTTGTATTGAAATATAAATTTGAACGGTCGGTCCAATATACACGTATGCACACATATAAATCACAAACATTCATTTCATTACATTCGGGTGATATTCTGGGTATTTCCAGTTTAATGTAGCAATTGGTACAGAAAAAATTGATGTAAGTAAATCGCTAATCGTATACGAATAAAAAGATAGTCATCGAAATTTTAAGAAACGATTCATCCAAATGAGCGATAATTCATTGACGTGAACAGTACTGACCTATCTGAAACGATTAGAGCCTTCTTTTCCGTTAAATTTTTTGTTCATATCTATTCTTTCAACTGAATAATTGATGTCAACTGTTGTTCATTCATATGCACATTTCAAAGTTGAATAATTTTCTGAAACAAAACTACAAATCATTTAAGATGCCGTTTAACATTGCAGTCTTATCGTGAATGCCTCAGCACAAAAAGATAAAGGTCGACAGATAGTGTAAAAGCACGAAAGAATATTGCGGTTATGTACGTACGTATCGAGTAGGAAAAGTCACAGAAAATTTTCATGTGCACTGAGAGCAATGAAAATCGCACAAATCTTTCGTCCATTTGTTTACAAACTTTTCATTCAATGAAACAATTCATTCATAGAAGTTAAATCTGAAATTAATTCACTAGCACTTCCAGAACGTGTGCATAACCTTGATCTGCTGCAAAATTGGAATGTCAACGAGTTTGACCACCAACTATCTTTTATATCTTTCTGTTGCTTCACAACTAATCAGTTTTGTAGTTCCAATGTAGTAACAACAAGTTTTATAAGGATGATAATTTGAAATAAGCATGTTGATGATAATATTTAATAATATTGATAATTATAATTATTATAATTATAATTATAATAACAATAACAATAATAATAATAATAATAGTAATAATAATAATAATAATAATGAGCAAATAGTATCGTAACGATGATAATAATAATAAAGACAATAATAATAATAATAACTACAATAATAATAATAGTAGTAACGCATCTTGCAGAAAATGCTTATTCGAAATCGTATCTCAATGGTTTTGTTGTTATTGCTATTGCAAACAGCGTGCGTTCTCGCACGAGATCAGCTCTTGTCTTCACCGTTCGACAACTACCGCATGGAGTGTTCAAAATCATCCGGTTCATTATTCATCTTTTACAGTGCTGAAATTTGATGGCATTCATTGCAGTGAACGCCATCAAATTTCGATACTTTTTAAGGTTTCATCCAAAAATTTTTCTCCTTTCGCACTGTTTCATGATTAGAAAAATTAGCGAAGATGAGTAGGCAGTTGAGGTTTCAACTGGAAAGCTTAGGTGTACAATTGAGAGAAACGTACCAAAAAGTTCCAAATATCTCATATTCAGCTTATGGCTAGCTAAGGTCTAAATTCTGATTCGAATGCTCCACTTCCTCCCTAACTGCAATAAAGTAACAACAATGAAGAAGCCTCTCTTTTAAAGGTGCCACTCGAATTAGTGTACGTATGGTTGGTTCACAAGGCTTCAAACGGCAGGATATTGTGTTTGGTGTGACGTGCGATCGAGTCGACGAGGTGAATAAACAATGAACCTTGTTTGATTTGACCACCTGTTTTGATATCGAGTGACCATCTTATTGCACCATGTTGTCTTGATCCAATATGAGCCATTTCCGTGCAGTTCTTGCCATCTTTTTAATTTCAATGGAACATTAACTCTCAACACTGGTGAGGAAAGAAGATATCCCGTAGTAGTGACGACCTGAAGCAAATGAACTTTATAAATACTTTACAAAGAATTACATGAATTATAGAATGTTTAATCGCTAACTTTTTTATGTCGTTTTAAAGTCAATCTTATTTGTATAGAGAAATTGGTACGTTTCTAAGTTTTGAAACGTTTCTTTCAAATTTGAATTCATTGGAAAAAAATTTCATTTCAAATAGAAAAAAAGAAAGTTTTCATGCTGTGCTTGTATATGGATGTTTACAATTAATGGAATTTTATCTCATAGCTTTTCCCATGGTACGGTATTCCGATGGGGATTGCTGATCTGGAGCGAGAAGACTGCTATTACGGTACACTGTTTGATCCATTGATCGATGAAAACTCTGAATATAGTTGTAAGAAGCGTGAATATATGGCCGGTATTACAAGATTATCTGATACAAGGTTAGCTGTGAAACGATAGTCAATTGTTCAGTTGATATTCATTGATGAAATGGTAGTAGAGAATAAGCGATGAACACATACTGAAATGAACTTGTTCAGGGTACAAATTTTATGCTGTCGATTGAGGACGAGAGATGAGAAAGAATGTCGCGAGAAACGATTTTCGAAACCAATTGGAAATGACCAAACACCTGAGATTTTCGAGCAGAAGAAAGTGATCAACGCAATCGCTGTTGATCGTTTCGCATTCCGAGTGCGATTCTGTGAGTTGACGCCTCGTGCAGTCGGTTTGTCTTAGACATCACCCTTTCTCCAGATTCAGTATTCGATTGCATTCATGTCGATGACGATGATATTTTACTTCCTTTTGAGAGGAGAACTGTCTCAAGAAATATCTTCCGAATAAAATGCCATCTCAAAATATATTCAGGTTTAATTTATGAGGATGAGCCATTAACAACGACAACAGAACAACCGTTTGAAAGCAACGAATTAACACCAGCAACACCAATTGAAGAATCTGGATTAGATTCAGAAGAAGTAGCCGAAAAGCAACAAACAACCAGGAGCACAACTCTTCGAACAACGCGCACTCCTCGTACAACAAAAAGTTGCAATTTTTTTCTTCCTTCCGTTTTATCAAGTATATGTACTCGAATTTTCGTATAAACACAGTTTTCAACGGTAAATCAAATGTTTCTAGTTATTTTATCCTACTATCAAAATGACACCTGTTTCGTTCAGTTGATTTCATATTTAATTTATATTCAGCACGAAGAACTAGAACTACAGCCAAGCCAACAACAACAAAGAAACATCGTGTTCTTCAACTAAGACGACCGTCCAATTCAGTCATTGAAATCAACGATAACGAAAGTAAGGAAAACGATGAGAGCGGTGACGAAGTGAATGAGATTGCTACTCATGATGCTGATGATGAGCAAATGATAACTCAACCAAACGAACAAACATCTCAGAAGTTTCAATCAAACCGGAAAGGTTAATAATGTTCAGAAAAATGGAGTAAATTATCATATCACCTAACAACTTCACTACTCACTGAATGATGTACACCGTTTCAGTTCATTTTGTTTTCACAATTAGTTCATTTCTCAGCACGATTTTGGCTGCTTTTCATGCTATATCAAGACCACCACTCACAAAATACTTCTTTTTTTGGGCGAATTTTTTCCTACGATCAAGAAGTAGAGAGAAATTTTCAGATGAGGATTCATCCACAACTGATAAAAATGATGATAATGATGATAAAGATTTTGAAGAGGGTGATGATAAGGATGATAGCAATGATAAGAATGGGAATGGGAGTAGGGAAAACATTTTTGTTGCGTCACCATCATCTATGCAAAGCGAAGAAACAAGTGATGCGCAGCAATTCTTAACCCAAACACCACTTCTACCAACACCGATTGAGCGTCAACAATCTGAATTGGCCAATAACGATAACAACGATTCACCAACAAACTCACTCACTGATAATGATTATGATGATGACGTTAGATCCCATGAATATACCACTGATAATGATGTATACGAAACGTTTCTGGACAATGATCCAACCGTAACACTACCACAAACGATCATCAATGATGTCAACGATCAGGCTTCGTCCTCATCATCCTCTTCCCAAACAACAGACGAACTTGCCTCACAAATGCCAACAGATCGCCTTCACAGAGCATCATTGCAACAAAAACCGTTATCAATCATTACCAAAAAAGTGGCCGCATCAAAGCGCAAAAAGTTCGATGACCATATTCATAAGAAGCTGAAAAATAAAGACTCACAAAATGAGCACAGTCAACTGAATGCCATTGAAAACATTGGCAAAAATCTTCGCAGCACAACCACAACAAACAGAAATTCTTTTTTCGTACACCGTAAAAATTCTTTATTTCCTGAACATTCAGCCTCCAGAAAGAATCGCCTACATGGTGCAAAAATAGCGAACACAGTACAAAAAATTGAACCGTTGCAATTGCTCAGAAATACGGATCACGAAAGACTGTCCTATCGATCGCCAGTGGTTCAACAGCAACGAAAACAACGGCAGCAACGCCATCGCCAACAACTAGTCTCAATGGCATCACCACGCAGTATGAATTATGAGGATGCTGAGGATAGTAATGATGAGTATGATGAATATAATTCCGAATGGTTCAACAATGAGAATTTGGATGAGGATGGTTTGCTGCAGCAAGATCCGATCCTTGATAGCGCCGCTAATATCAAAGAAGAATTTAAAACTTTGCCCATCTCTGCAACACATTCATCATTTAGAACGCCGTCATCGTTATCGTTGCAGAAAGCTTCGTTGATTGATGTCTTATCGCAACCGACCATCACTCAGCAACAACAATTCATTTCTCCTTCCTTATTCTCCCCACCTTCACGCAATTCGCAATTTTTACAGCAGCACTCCATGTCACCACTATTTTCACCTCAAAATCCTTCAGCTTCACCATTTCAACCGTCTGTAATGGGCTTTGAAAATTATCCAGTAGAACTCGGGCAATTCCCAGGAATGCTACCATCTCCTCATGCTCCTCTGTCAATTCCTGCTATATATGAGCAGTTACCACGACGGTCGTCAAATACAATGACTTCTGAGACATTGTTAAGCCCGGACTTTCGTGATCCGTCTCAATTTGGCTTTGACAGTGGTAATGAAAATGCCAATCATTTCATAAAACAACAGAGTGCATTTCAACAACCGTCGATTATGAACTCATTAAACGGTATGAATATGAAAAATAACAATGACCTCATGAGTTATGCTTCAACCATTTTAACTGATGATAGCAACAACGCAATGGAGAACGGAAATGAACAAGTTCATCTTCACAAGAATACCAGTAATATTATCAACGATGCGCAACCACTAACTGACGCTTTCATATCTCAAAGTGGTGGAATCATATCGTCTGTTGCGCCGTCATTGTTATCGTACAACTTAGCAGAAGTCAAACAGGTCGATGGGTCGCTTACGAACGGAGCAGTGAACGTTGGCAGCGTTCATGAAACTACGATTGTTAAACCAGGGAAGACCTCACTGAGACCCGATTTAGCAATAACAGTATCATCAATTCCACTGACAACCACAACACTTTCACCAGTTGCCGCAGCAACTTTACCAACGACAATATCAACAACAACGTTACCGATAATCACAACAACCTTGCCGACAACTACGAAAACTTTACCAACAACATCATCAATAACCACGACAGCTTCACCAATAACCACGACAGCTTCACCAATAACCACGACAACTTCACCAATAACCACGACAACTCCACCGACAACTTCACCGACAACAACATCAGAAAGGACATCACCAAAAACGTTGATGTACCCAACAAGTACCACCACTGATTCTTCGTATTATCTAAACAATTACTCGGGTGAGATGCCAACCTTAGACGAGATTCGACAACAACAACAACAACAACAACAACAACAAGTGAATAATGCAAACGCACTATTCACAGATGAGACGTCAACCATGGTCCAAATGAATCAACAGCAGCAAATGAAGCGAATGGAGAACGTTGCAAATCTGACGCAGCACGCTTTCATAAATCCCATGAACGGTGCTGTTGAACCATCGGTGTTATGGATACCAGAACAGAGCAATGAACACTACCATAATGCACTTACCGTGACGATTCATCCAACTGTCGATAATATTCGCACCACATCTGCTTCATCAGTATATTCGCTAAAAACAACCAAAATCAGGCAATTTTCTGGAACAACAACCACACTAATGAGCACACCAACGATAATGCAGCAAGCAGAGAATGATGACGTTACTCTAAAAGACAATCGATCTCACATAGATGAGTTCACATCGTCCAATGAAAGTATGCCATCTTCATTGCAATTAGAAAATATGCGGCGAGAATCAAAAGGTGCCGAGTTCATTCTAACATCACCACACACATACCGACAAACGCAGCCTCAGTTAGTGCAAGTGCCAAATACTTATGAGACCATAACGGTACCATCTACAACACCTAAAATTATAACTTCTACTTCTACTTCTACTACTACTACTTCTGCTGTTATAACTAAAAACGATGAAGCACTGGGATCAGAAAGGAACACTATAAAAGGAATACAGTTGAATGGTGGTACAGAAACGTTGGCTTATGATGGATTCAAAAATGGCAACAATCGCAGTTCTTCTGAAACCACCGAACAATCAGAGCAGCCGGACGATCGACTCGCTGATAAAGAATCAAAGAACATTGAGCATATAACTACAACAACATCTATTAATTCAACTGACACGGTCGTTAGTAGTAGTAATAGTGAGTCAATGAATATCAGCGGTCATTTGGATTCATCAAATGAAAAATTATTGGACAAAAGTAAGGAAAAGATTACTACACAGGAAGGTTTGCTGAATCACTTGTATCCTGTTTTAATGATGTTTTATCACTAGCACAAACGCACTCTATAACGCTACGATAACACCACATTCCACGCTTTCAGTTCACTAGAATTAAAACATGAATTCGTTCAATCAAGTTATATGATCATTTCTAATTTCAAAAATGACGTATTATCGAGACAGATAAGGGATCAATCGCATAGCGATGTTATTAATCATTGAAAATTCTTATTCAGTGCACCGATTGGAATCGTTTTCAGAGAATTTTGGTATACTATACATGAGATGGTATCACTACTTTCTCAGTGACCGTCTCATGCATGAAAGTACCTGGATTGCCAATCCAGGTAATTTCATTCATGAGACGGTCACTGAGAAAGTAATGAGAGGATATTGCAAAAAATGTTGCTTGACGTCGGGGAGTTGAAGGAATAAGAAGTTGAAAAACGGTGATTCATTGATGGAATCGATGATGTTTGTTTTCAAGTTTGATCATGCTCCATGGGTAGTTTGCTGAGAATTCCGGGAATTAGCAGCTTCTGATCGAACAGTGTTTATCATTTTCTTTACCGACCCCAGCCGGTTATGTGATCAGCGAAGATCACATAAAATTTTTGAATTTGAAAAGAAAAAAGGCTTATTATACGCAGAAGGAAAGGCTGAAATTTTAGAAAGTTTACTCAACGATTTGGATAGTTTATTGGAAAGTCAAGAATTATCGGAATCAGAAGTTCAGATTGCTGAAGATTTACTCAGAGAATCGCTACAGCAAGAGGAAACAGAAACTGAGTCATTCGAACAACCGTACGTTTTTGAATTCAGTTTCTCTTGATTTTCATCTTATTTGAGATTACCGTTTATAAATGGTCATTCCTATTGAGCAGTTCTCATAGAGCTGTTCAGAATTCGATTTCTTCCATATCCGTATCTGTTCAAAAGTCAAATTACACTTATCAGTGTCAGTAATTTGACGCTTCTGAAAATTTTGCAGAGAAATCAACTCAGAACTTGACGAACAACTGGAAGATGAGCCAGCTCTCGGGGAGAGTTTATTGGCTGAAAATCATATGGAAAAGCCAAAAACTTCGCATAAACAATCTGAACACACCGAAAACGCAGTGAGCAAATTAATATTCTCTTCCATAAATAAATTCCAATCAAATTATTAACAATCAAAAGACACAATTAGTACCTGTATTCAACGAAGTAACCATCGGTAAATGATAAATGAGTATCGTCACTTGCAGCCGTACCGATAGCAAGTAATAAGCAATGAATATATGCAGTGCAAATTCTGAATCATCTATTCGACTTAGCATGTCATTAGTATAACACAAATCGATCGCTCTTGATTTGACAGAGGAGCAGTTGAAAAGAAGATCAAAATTGCTTGATGGCATTGATAACGTGACTAAAACAATGTTAAAGTGTTCGATGAAAATGATTGCATACAGGCTAAAATTGAACATGAAATGTTTTTTGTAGCTTCCATAGATGTCTTCAAGAAAATGCGTTCTGTTGACACACTCAGCATTTGAATGCATCTGATATTAATGTCAATATTAGTTACATTTATATGTTCATATTATCTCACAAAAACTGATTGAGAAACTTGTTGAAGTCCTCATTCCTTCAACTTATTCTCCTCAGCACTGTATTCCACAATTAAACTATGCGTTCATTTGAGATTAACTCGTCGCAATCGCGTGATAAGTCCATACAGCAATCTAGTGATTCGAATGCACTGTTTGATGCATTTCCATCACCCCCCACTCCATCGCATCGTCCAGTCACAAAAGATGAAACCAAACGCGGTCAACATACAACTAAATCAGAATCATCGAAAGCACGAAAATTATCTATTCCAACAGCGCCGTATGTGGATGAGGATTTGAATCTGTCACCATTCGAAACAACGACCGATGATGATAATATGCAAAATTCGGATTCGTTGCTGGTATGTTCCCAGAAAACACGCTCACTCACTCGTCACATTTTATAAATTCTGTTGTTGTCACCTGTAATGAAAAAAACCCTCAAAAATCGAAACTTTCATGTAAATGTGAATAATTCCTTATTTCTCATCGCACTTAATCTTTCTTTATTGTAGAACATTCTATCGAAGGCCCGTTCATTATCTGTTGCATCCCGAGAAGTTTCTCATCTGAAGAAAGCAGCTAGTGACGATCCCACGGAGTCAATTCCCTCATTTGTTTCAACCGATGGTTTGAAAAGCTCTAAGGAAATTTCATCTGAGATTCGACGAGCTCCTATCAAAAAACGTTTGAAAAATTCATTTAATTTGTTTGATGCTTAATTTAATTTCATTTAGTTCACTATTACGAGCAGACAAATTGGCGTAAATTTTGGATTTTGAAGAATCCATTCAGTTCATTATTGAGAAGTTTCTTCGGTATTTTCCTTAAGAAGGCTAAAGTTTTTGAAACAACAATGAATTCGTTTGGTTTTAGCATGGAGGAGAGCTGGAGCCAGATTCAAGCCGTTTACTGGCTTTCCAAGTATGCCATCAAATAAAATTTCGACTGATTTCATTTTTCCAACATTTGCCGACGAAGTAGCATGTGAGTTGTTGATACGATTTGCTTGATAGTCTTTAGCGAATGTCAAGAAAATTTTTACAAGTTTTTTCATTAAAAAACATTCTTCTCGGCCCTAATCTTGCATCAAACTGCAACATGTTTGAAAAAAATCAAGTTCGATCTGTGTTAAACTTCTCGCCACTTTCAGCTAATGAAGCAGATTATCAAGAGAATGATTTCCCAGTAAAACTTTCTGGTCCTGATGCCACACCAACATTCCATCCGAAAGCTGACATTCCGATTGAGATGCCTCGTAAGTGCGAGTTTTTGTGTTGAACTGCTGAGTTGATATTTTCACAGTTGAAAACAACAACATTTAAAAACACATGAAACTTCTTTTCTTATCTTATGCATCATTTCAGCTTTAATAATATACGATACGCCGAATCGTGATAATGTTCTATCGCTTCCCAGAAACGATAACGTGAAAAAATCATCGTCAAAGTTGCGAACACTCGAAGCTGATAATCCATCTGAATCATTCGACCTCACAAGAGGTACTTTTCTCAATCTATTTTATAAGATCAGATCAATTTTCCGATCATTGTTCGTTGAAATCAAACGTTGATTGCTGCGGTAGTTTACACACAAAACATGTCCCCTCGATCAATCAACAATTCTTTCAAAAATCAACTGTGAGGAGCTTTCTCAGAATATTTGCAGGTTAAAATTGAATATCGAAAATCGTTACCAGCTTGTAAGCTGTTGGAATCTTTTGTGAATCAGAACAAAATGTTGAACTTTTTCAGGAATGCATCTTCAACAAATGATTCCAATGAGCAATGTAAGTGAAATGCAAAGACGATATGATGAGGCGAAACATGAAACTCTAAGCAAATTAACAGCACCACACGAAGCACTATCAACAGCTACAATGCTGCACACTACAACAAAAACTCTTCCAAAGCAAAATGTATCCATCCATCTTCGATTGTTCAGAGGCTGTATTTTATTAATTTATATGCTATACTATGCAATCAGTGATAATCTTAATTATTCGTTTTTTGACAGTTGTGCAGAATAATTTGAATTCCAGGTCATCAATAGTTTACCACATACGCATCCACAAACGACAACGCCGATAACAGTGGAAGACATTTCGATCTTTGAGGAGGTGGACTGCACTTTGTATTTTCGCTTTCTAAACCTTGCCACAATCAGATGAAAATTTTTTCCTAATTAGATCGTTTAAAATTTCTTAGAACTGGTATCATTCAATTAGCAAAGTTATGAAAGTGTTTCGAGTGACTAATTCAACAAAACTACTGTAGTTGGCAGTTAATTGGTTGCTTGCAAAGATTTAACTGATTGACCAGAGAGGTTGCTAACAAATATACTACAGAACTTTGGCGATAATATGAATGAAATGAGAAGTTATAATATTGCGCACAATGAACTCGACAATCAAATCAATGAACAGCCTTATCTGCAACAACACTCACTCGAGCAGTACGAGAATCGTGCGGATTTTACGACCTATAATCCGGCTAAATTTTATCATACGCCACCACCAAAGAGAGGAACGCTACGAGAGGAGAGTGAGTTTAGGTTTTCTTCTCCTTGAACGAACACAGCATATTATCATTAGGCTCATCTCATCCCAGTAAAACTTTCTGTAATGTTTTGTAACTTACTGTAAACTTACTGTAATGTTTTCAATCCTGATATCCCACCGAACTATTCGTGACTAGATAAATGCATTTATACGTTTGTAATGCGAAATTTTGCACTGGTCAAGGATACAGTGTTCATTCAGTACATTTCTCATAAACTTCTATATCATTTCACATGCTTTCATATAATTGTTCTGAAAGACAGTCGATCAACTATAGCATGTTGTAAGCAAGGTATTAAGCTCAGAGCAAGCATACAATATGTTTTTATCAAATAGGTTATGATTTTTAATGCTATCATTCTCAGTTCCCTGGATTTTAAAAAGCTACGATGAATGTTTATGATTGAAACTGTCTTGTTCTCGATGCAATCTTAATTATATGAATTCGATTTGTTCATAGAAAATTAGATCGTCACATTAGAGCCGATCAGCAGCTCATTAAAACAAACCACGGCTGGCTACATGACGGACATCTCCCTTCTCTCCTGGATTAAACATTTTTTCGTCTTCGAGACGTTGTAACGTCGATTTTTGTTATTCTCGAACTTATTCAATTAGACGTTTGCTGATGGTGCGTAACTGATGGAAATTTTTTCAGTATTGACATTCTGTACGAAAGATATTGCGATCAGAGATACAAACAACTTGGTGATTGCTTGTGGAAGTGATACCGAAGTTTGGATACCACACAGATGCCCGAGTGGCAGTGAGTGCTTTGTTGCGTCTGATTCAACCTATCGAATCTGTTGTGCTGTTGCAGATGCTATTCAGTATGCAAACTAATAATACTGTTCGTTGCTCACGTCTGTCACATTGATGCCTTTTTTGATAAAAGCAATCAAATAAAGTGCATTCTAAGCTAATAATAAGAAAAGTTGATATAATCTTGATAAAACTAATAATTGTAATAATAATAATAAATAATAATAACGATAATAATAATAATAATAATAATAATAATAATGATAATAATAGCAAAAATTAAAAACGATGATAAGATAATCATTCGTTATG